AAAACCCCCCCCAAAAAGGCTTTTGCAACTGAATTTTTCCGAGCCATACATGTGTAATTTTTGTTCTGGCTTGAATGCAAGCGGTCTCAAAACAAAGGTGATCTACAGTTTTTCAGATTAAAAATAAAAATTCGTCAGAAGTATGCAAAGTATGAGCTTGCATTCATCTCTGCATGACCCGACACCCCACGATGTTAAGTACAGCCTTTTTTGTTGTGCATTTTTGTAGTGTGACGCTCTCTTCCTGTGCAGTCGTGCAATTATTTGTATGAACGCGTGAGTACTAAGCGCGAGATCCCTCTGCGAGCAGGATCCACTCTAATTGCTCCTCTTCTGTCTGCTGAAAGCTGGCTCTGTCGGTGGGGCTGCGTGCGCCCTGCTCGGTAAGAACGGCCGGGGTTGTGTTCCTGGCTGGCCACCCGAGCGGCTCCGGCTGCTTTGAGCTGGTTTCCTCTGAAGCGGGCAGGCTGTATTCATCTGCTCTGTATGGCACTTGGCTGTGAGCCACGGCGAGGTCTTGTGTGCTGCTCCCGTGACCTCAGGGAATGAGTTTTTCTCTGTGTCTTTTAAGTTTGGAGTGTTTGAAACGGCCTACGTGGGTGGTGTTTTTATAGCATGAAATCAAGGGTTCTGTGTCGAATGGCATGAAGATAGATTCGTTGAGAGGGGAAAGCCTGCTGAGAAGTTGTTAACAGGCTGGGTAGGACCGAGGGAGTCACACTCAATGCGGTCTTACCCATATTGGTGTTTGGGAGCAGTTCCTGGAGTGAGGTGTTCCCAAAACTGTGTCCAGGCTTTGTCTTCAGTAAGGCTGTTTGGAGCAGCTTAGGTGGCTGCGCTCTGGTCCTCCCCGTGTAGCAGGTTAGGTGTTTGCAGGAGGTGCAAATGACTGGAAGGAACTGGAAGTATGCCGTTACAGGCATACCTGCCTGGTCGACTGCTGTGCCGCATCAAATTCTTGCGAAGCTGATCCTGGAGCTTCACTTAAAACAGGTTGTGGAGGTCCCATGGCATCAGGTCCTAGGGCTGCTGCTACCTGCTCCGTGAGGATATACGACACGGCACCAAAAAATGTTTCTTGTGATTTTAAGGGACATGTGGTAAATTTGCAGTTACACATTACACAGTTATTTTTTTTCTTCTCAGATTGGAAGGCATATAGTTTTTAGAAATGATAATGAGCCTGTACAATGCATAAAATGCATGTGGACACCATCTTGTACCTGTGAAGTTCTCCAGTGCAGTTGTTAACGATGGGTTTTACCATTCGGTAACCTTCCTTTGTCTCACTTAACAGCCTTGCATGACACTTGTATAGAAAAAATACACATCTTTTCCCTAAGAAACAAACAAGGATATAATTTAAGTAATGTCTTTTTCATATTGACTTACTTTAATTTGCCTTTATTGCCAGATGAGTTCTTGTCTTACAAACTTGTCATATCTCTCCTTGAACGTCATTTTGTAATTAATTTCTTTGTGAAAATACAGAGAAAGCATACTAGGATTCTGAAATCTTACAGTAATATTTTCAGATATTACTCTAAAGGATGAACCGTTTCCTTCAGCTTAAAATATTAAGCCAGCATTGCTTCAGCTTGCTTTGCAAGGCTTAACTATATCTGCAGTTATGTAACTTTCAGTTATGTGATATTTCATGGGCATCTATTTAAACATACAACTATTATTTTTAGTTGAAATATAGACTATATAAAGACTTAAAAGATGTGGGATCAAGGTGGACAACCTTGGCAGCAATGGCCTTTGAACCAACAGCAGTGGATGCAGTCATTTCAGCACCAGCAAGATCCAAGTAAGTATATAGAAAGCTTTGTGGATTGATTATTACTTTTTTTTTTTTAATCTGTTGTTATTTGAATTTTTGAATCTTTGTTAAGAAGCATGACTGATAATTGCTTTTTTGTAGCTGCTGTCAAGATAGTACATGTATGATGCTTTTCTGAACAACTAGGAAAACCAGAAAACATATATTGATTTCAAAAGTTTTGATGTAGTTAATATTTAATATGCAAAGTACAGGCAAGCAATCCGAGTCATCCTGGACAAATTATCAACATTTTACGAGTCATACAGATCAACATTTAGACCTCATGTACTTCTACAGAACCTGTATCCCTGACCATTCTTTAGCCAAGCTGAATCATTTATTTGAGAATATCTCCTTTTTATTCAGTGTCTGTATGGCAGAAGTACTAATGCAGATGAATACACAGGAAAAATATCACTGGAAGATGAGTATGGTGCTTGTTTCAGATTACAGCAGCAATGATCATGGTCTCGTTTGGATTTTTTTTTCCTCACAAAAAACCCCTCCATTTTAAACAATAGAACATAATATACCTTAAATGGAGAGTGAGGTGGCAGCAATTTGAAGTATCAAGAAAGATACAGAAATGGTTAAACAGAGTGGAGGTGTGTATTTCACCCGTGCAGAGTGATCAGGCACACTGGCTTTACATTGCTTTCTGTCACTTCAATTTCTGTGACTTCACTAGAGAGATTTCCTGACTTGGTAATGAGCAGAAGACATACTGGTATCTTCATCTGAGAGTGCAACTTACTTACTTTCTGGTAGGAATGGTAGTAAAGAAAAAAACGGGAGAGAACTGTAACATAAAATACCATTCCAGAAATCAGGGGTTATACAAAGAATATACATTGCAAAATGTAGTTTTGTAACTGTATCTTTCTTACACTTGAATCTTCATGAATTTAGAATTTAAGGCTATAGATATTTCTTTCTGATATCAAAATTAATTCATTTAAGAAAAAAGTGGTGGTATTACTACCACCCATTCAGTGCTAATGTGAACCTGAAATAATGTGCCTTATGGCATTTTGAACATATGCAGAGAAACTCTTACTTCAGCAAGTACGTACACTGACATTTGCTTCCAGTTTGGTTTACTGTATGCTGTGAATAAGTTTTAATGGTGCTCATGGTACTTGCTGAAGGTAAACGTTGCCCGTTTCTCTTGAGCAATGAGATATGTAATTGAGAAACAGTGTTAAACTTCAGACACGGGAATGCTAACCTTTTAAATTTCCTCTGTTTTATTTTAGGCCAGATTGACTGGGCTGCATTAGCTCAAGCATGGATTGCTCAGCGAGAAGCCTCAGGGCAACAGAGTGTAGTGGAACAACAAGGAATGATGCCAAACGGACAGGATATTTCAGGAATAGAGTCTGGTCCAAACAACCATAATAATTTTCAGGGGGATCCCAACTTCAACAGAATGTGGCAGCCAGGTTTGTTTTCCTTCCCATTCATTCCTGTTTTTTCATGCAATGAAATTTTACTTCTCTCAGACATTACTGGATGTGAATATGCCCTGTCCCTCTGGTTTCAAGATGCAAAACTACCAGAAGCATCAACTCTTTAACTGAGGATCATCACAGCTGCTACTTTCCAGTCATGTGTTCCACGGAATGGGTAACAGTACAGACACAGAAGTCTGATAACACAACTCAGTAATCTCTATATAAAATAGATAAATAGGGTTTATAATATATATATATGTTCCATCCCCGAATGTTCTAGAAAGATAAAGTGTGAATTGCAGTTATATATTTATTTCCTTGGATATTATGCGTACGTCTTACGTGTTTTCTTGCTTATCCCACTGCACTAGGAACAGCAGCACTGAAGGCAATAGGATGCCTCAGAATTAAAGGGCATCTGTTGCCCTCTCCTGTAGTGTAATACCGGCTTCTGGCATGATCTTGACACGTAGAATGAGTTCATGATATAACTGGCAGATGCTGGCTTTAAGTGTCTTAAGATCTTGAAAAACGAGATGAACAAAATTCTGTGTGTAAAGTATGTTTTTATTGCATTTCACATACTTAGTGTTTTGCCCTTTTTTGACTTACGTATCTGATTTGTCATGCGTGTAATTTTTCAGTTATTGTAAGTTAAAGTTGGTTGAACGCTTCTGTTAGTATCAATTGTTTTCAGTTTTTATAACTTCCTCAAAACTTCAGTTTTGGTGAAAAATTAATTTTCTTTTTAAAACTTCATAAAATAGCGCTGACAATAAACATGGGGTAGAGATTGGATATTTTCTGCTAAGAATTTTTCTGAAGTTGTTTTCTGAAAAGTTTGTTATGCCACCACACTATAATGCAATTTGAAAGGTCTGAGCAAGGTAGTTGGTAAACCTGCGTGCATGCCTTCTGTTGTCTTGGTGAAAGCAACACTTCATGCTTGGTTCTATTAATGACTGAAAGAATAACATCTTCAATTTTCACTGTGACTATTTGAATTTGTTTAAGTGCAATGTTTAATAAAAGTAGGCTTAAAAATGTCACGAGCGGTTCTTACATGGGCATAACAAAATGGAGGTAGCCGTCTGGTTTCACTTAAGTTTCACCTGCCTGTCCTGGGCTACAAGTTATTGTAGCCGCGTGGAAGAGTTTTAACTTTACTACATGGCCGTACAGAGAGTGCATTCTAGCTGTATTTCTGTATAGTAAGTAGAGGTTTTCACAGAAATACTGTGTCATTATTGGCAACTTTATTTTTCATATGATCCTGCGGTGGTGAGTTCTTCCTCCTATGCTTTTTCATCTGTGAGGTGAAAGAGAATAATATCTTAAGTGGTAGTTTTTGTAGATAGTTGCAGAATGGTAAAAGGGAGGAAGACATTTCGCTGATAATTATGAATGCTTGGTGCCCAAGCTTACCCAGAAAGTGCAGAACAGGGAAACACCTTAGATCTGGGAGTGAGAATAATCTGACACCTTTTGTTAACTGGAAACAATGTGCCAATGCATTTTGTTATCATTGGTTATATCATTCAAAGAATATGTGTTTTCCCAATTTTTTGGAGCACTGATAAAGACTGTGCTGATGCAGATGTAACTCAGCTTCCCTTAATTTAGGCAATGTCATTCCTAATGTGTGAAAGTAGTCAGAGCAGACAAACGAAATCATAGCATGCATGGCTAGACAAAGTTCTCTTCATGTGTTTACTCTGTTTCTACAAAGTTTCATCTTTTTCCATATCCTTCCAAGTTTCTTTCTGGATCCAATAAATAATACTACTAATAAAAAACCAAAATGGCAATCTGAAAACCAACTGCGTAATTAGCAGACAATTCATTTTAAAGGCGTTCACGTTCCAAAAGTAAAAACAGCATCTGTTGTGTGCAACTTGAAGTAAACTGGACAGTAAACTGTCAAATTTATGAAGAATAACTCTTATAAGCTCTGCTTAAAGAATAAAGGATTCTGTCCCTTAGAATGTTTTAGGAGTATTGACTCTGGAAAAAGATTTGATTAATCAGCTAAACATGACCTACCAGGATGACAGTGAGAGTGAAAGGAGTGGTAACAGTCTTTGAACATTTGAAAAAGAACGACAAAATAAAAAAGCTACGTTAACCCTTTTTAGTTGCTGCAGTAGTGGATCCAATTATGATGCAGATGGGAAGGACAGTAAAAATTAGAAAAACTGAAAGAATTATTAAAGGACTGGATGGAAGGTAGGAATTAACTGAACAGGCTAGGTATTAATTCTGTTACTGGTGAAAGTTAGAAGGCAGTTCTGTCACGGTCTATAAATATCTGTATAGTAGACAAATTTTTAGCCTGGTTTCCTAAGAAGACAAAGCTTATGGCCACAAGAGCTATTATTCATTCCTTAAACCCTTTTCACTCTGTTAGCCAGTTGCAGCTTATGTTTGAGGGCTTATGACTGTAGCTTATGCTCGAACCTCTGCTAGATATTGGAGAATCCGGGGAATCGTCCATTATCAAGACGTAAGACTTTGGAAAGCAGGTTTCAGGGGTTGTGCTGCTTACAAACCCATTTGCTTTCCGTAATAGGTCTGTTAAGTCTATTATGCAAAGGAATAAAATAGCTCATTACTTTGAATGTTGAAGTAGAGAAGT